TTGTTACTTCTAGCTATTAAAAGACTGAGACAGAGATTTCTACATAAATACTGTACATAACTGCAAGTCTGGTGGATGCTGCCTTATAGTGATTCAGGTCTTAACATTGACATTTTTGACTGGCAGCCATGACTTTCCAGGGATTCAGGTGGGATTGTTTTGCAATCCTTCCTGGAGGTCCTTGGTATGTTTTTATGGTCTCCCATCCAAGTTAAAGCCATGCTTGATCTTGCTTAGCTTCCCAAATCAGACAAGGTTGGGCTTTTAGGATAATATGGTGCAACTCAAGATGGTAGGATGAAATTTGCAAGTTAATGAGGCATGACCTTGTTTTATTTAAATATCAGAGCAGAACCAAAATAGAGGCAAGGAAAGAAGACAATATATCTACTTGGCATTCCACCATCTTCCTTCCATAGACTTCCTCCGAGGTTATCAAGTGGTGTATAGTGGAGCGTGGAGCTAAATATACATCCACATCCTGGTGGGCAGGACTCTCACCATCCTTCTGTCTTATTACTCTGCTATAATCTGAACTGCTGAGCCAGTAGGAAATCAAAGTTCTGTGCCAATATAGTTGTCCTTAAGTGGCCCCACTGCGCGGGGCAAACAAGCCACATTCAATTCTGCCAATGGCAGCCGTCCTTAACACTTCAGATGCTGGAGTGTTCCTGTAAGTTGTCTGCCATCCGCTCCCAACAAATGCACTATTTCAGCAAGGCGATTAAAATCCTCACACACACCTCCACAGTATGAAAGAGGGAGACTCTGTTACTCTGTGAAGCAACCTTTACTCAGTCCATGAACTGGGTTTCTATGCTCGCCCTTCAGGCACCTCTTTACAAGGAACCGGAAGCAAAACACCGCATTCCAGAGACTCTTACTTTTATAAAAAGATGCTTAAGCAAGTGGTGTTTTTCTTACCTTTTATTCAGACAAGCCTTTGGAAATCAAATTATAAGGTTTTACTCAATGTGCTGGCTTTTTAAAACAAAAAAATAAACTATTTTTTTAATCAAGTATTTTCATTTTAAGGAATTTAATCCTATTTTAAAGCATCTCAATTTCATTTTAATCTATTTTTTTTTTAAAAAACAGTTTTATAAGCCTCCTCGAGAGACTTGGGGGAAAGGTGGTATATAAATACAACAAAGTAAATAAACAACGTTTCTTTTCAACCCTTCGGATCTGTTCCGCCATCAGCATTACTGGGGGAGCCTTGGGTCAGGACTGGCCCTACCATTAAGCAGAATGGAGCACTGTAATTTTGCTGCAACAAGCCAGCACAGATCCCCCTTGTCCAAATTGCTCTAGAAGTCGGAGTAAGCTTGCTGAGTCTGATGTTCTGACAATCTCTCCCTTTGTGGGTGCTCCCCACAGCTGCACAGACCTGGATAAGCTAGTTATCTTGCTGTACCTACTTGTTACACCCCTGAGCTGTAACCAAAGGGATGACTTGGCATTTACACAACTTAAAAAATCATTGTCTGAAGATCGCGGACCAACTGATCTGGAGAGAACTTAGCTTAAAATGCTGAAGCATCGGAAGCTGCCTCATAAGTAACTAATAAAGCTGTATCACCAAGTCCTGTATTTGACATGGACTCCTTGATCACAGGCTGTCTAGCTTACTGCTGGCAAATTCTGTGGCTCCATTAAGGTGTAATGCTTAACCACAGTTAACCATCTGCAGGGAGAAAGCTGGAGAGGTCATCTCTGCTCTTCTGGGTTCAATGTAAGGAACTTGTAGGCCTGCCTGTGCATGTGTCCAAAAACAGCATTCAGTCTTTTTCACCCAAAGGCACAGATACTCTGTTCAATGTTCTCCTCCCAGCCCTGAAGCATCTTTTTGTGTTACATCTGGCCACCCATTCAAACCAGCAAGGACAACTCTAGTATAATCTGTTTATTTTAGCCAATTAAGGTTATAGTAAATAGGGGTGGGTGACACATGGCCTTTCAGGCATTGCTGGATGGCAGCTCTCATCAGTTATAGCCAAGAGGGGGGAATTGTGAGTGTTACAATTGTTTTAAATTTTGGAGTTGCCATCAACTGCCCATCGTTGTCACCAAGAGAAATGTTGGGAGACCTGCTTCCCCACCAGACCATGGAACAAGCTGGTCTAGTCATCTGAGCCTCAGCTTGACCTATCTCACAGATTTATTGCATGTTTAAAGTGAGGAGGAGAACCTTACAACTTGAGCGCACTGGAAGAAAGATAGTTTATTATTGATTGGCTGCATTGGTATCCTAACATTAGAATCTAGGAACTGGATGGTCTTCTTTAAATGCCATTTTATCCTGACAGTGTCCTTTGGCTCTTTAAAATGTTGGCATAAGCTTTCTTGGTCTTGCAGCTCCATTCATCAGATGTAACACACTGAGTAAAACCTATTAAAATTTAAAGGTGCCATCAGACACTTAGCATTCTTGCTGTCCCCTGTCCCATCTTGATTAACTGAAAACCACTTGGTAATACTAGCAGTCTTTACTATAGCCTTAACTACATCTAGAAAGTAGAGGCTACCTGTCCTTCTCCCATTGTTCCCTTACACTGCTACAGAAATATTCATTGGTATTCTAGGGCAAGAATTATTGAGCTCTATGTCCAACTTCTTTGCTTCAACCAAGCCTGTGAATCAGATTGTGAAATGTCTATACAGCCGTGCAAACAAGCTCTCGAGACTTATCAGTGGCTTTCCCCATCACAAACAGGGAGATAGCTGCATCTCTCTGAGGTTGCCACATGCCTTATGCCTCAAAGAGGAACCCAGCAATTCGGGCAAGGCTTTCTCTCCTGTAGGACTAATCCCAGCTTTTTCAAAAGGCACAGGAGCAGAGACTGGCAAGAAGATGGCAATCCTCTATTCCTCATAAGCAAAACCAGAGTTTGACACAGCTTTTACTGACTAGACTGGTTGTGGCTGCTGGGAATTGTAGTCCAAGGAGTAACTTCTCCAAGCTCTGAATGTTGAGACCACATTCATCCTTAATTCCCCAGATACCTTTTCGAGACCCTTTTATCTTCTATGAAGCTACAATGACTTGAAAACATTATTTCATGCAGCTTGCCAGACTGCTGTGCTTCCCCCCTTTAAAGGCATTAGCTTCCAGATGTATGCACATTAAGTCAGACATTTTATCCTGTAGGAAATATTTTTCCTTCCTCCGTTACCATGGGGGCGGGTGGAAAAAGAAAAGAAATAAAGTCCAAAGGACTTTTAAAAGTTAATCATGCTCTTCAAGCCACCCTTATGAACAGAAAGCTCCTGAGAGGATCCTGCCCTTTTGGCAACTCATTCAAACCCACACTACACTACACTCAACCTAGAATAACACTTTAGTCTTGCCCTCCAAGCCTGCTTTACTTGAGCTAGTTGTTTTTCACTCTGGCAAGGAAGAGATTGCAAGAATGATTTTACACCTGGGAGGAAGTTTGGCTTCAGGCAAAGCTATTATGCTCAGGAGACTAGCTGGGGAATTTAAGGCTACAGCCTGGATGCTTAGCAGGATCCAGTTCAAGCCTAAGTAATTTCTACCTGAATCTTCTGAAGTAGGGTCATCATGAGCCAGAATTGACTTGAGGGGACAGAATTATTGTTCTAGAGGAGAAGGTGGGTGCAAAATGTGGCCCTAGGCAGCCTATATCCAGCTTTGCCCCCCCCCATCCTGACCCAAAAAGGTTAGCTCTGACTCCTGAAAGCCACTCTCCCCCCCTGCACCCCTTAACCACCCCAAATACCAAGATTTCAAGACTGTCCTACATAC